TTGCTCAGGCTGGTCTCAAACCCCTGAGCTCAGGCAATCCTCTCACTTCGGCCTCCCAAAGTGCTGGGATTATAGGCTGAGGCACCAAGCCCGGCTATCACTGATTTCTGAAGCAGCCTATACGTTGGGATTTATTGGTATTTTTTTTTTACATATATTTGAAATGTTCCTTTATAATATTATTTTGTAACTTTTAAATAAGATTTCCCAAGTGATGTGGGGTAATATTTGTGTTTTAATGGAAAATTATGCATTACGTAGACTTTAGATAGCACCTCCTGGATTATCTGATTCTATTGGTAACTTTTTTTTTTCAACGGGAGTCTCAGTCTGTTGCCCAGGCTGGAATGCAGTGGCACAATCATAGTTCACTGTAGCCTCTGCCTCCTGGGCTCAGGTGATTGATTCTTTAGCCTCAGCCTCCTGGATAGCTGGAACTACAGGTACGTGCCACCGCACCTAGCTAATTAAACAATTTTTTTTGTAGAGATGAGGTCTTGCTATGTTGCCTAAGCTGTGATCTTGAAGTCCTGAGCTCAAGTAATCCTCTCTCTTCGGCCTCTCAAAGTGTTAGGATTATAGGTGTGAGCCACTGCGTCTGACCATAACTCTTTTTCAGTAACTGGTGCAATAGCAAATAATTCTTGTCTAAGACTATGCAGATTCTGTCCTTCCCAGTGGAGTTTTTACCGACCTCCCTACTCTATGGAAGAAGTAAGTTTTGTTTTATTTGCACATGTAAATGTGTGCTTTTCTGACTTATTTGAACCTGCTATTATATCTGCCTAGTTCCCTCCTTACAAGTTGAATAAAATCTTTCACACATGTTCATTTTAATATATGTATGAGTCATAATTTTACCCTTTTTGGAAAATGTTATCTTTTAACAGTAATAGATAATATTTATATATTTTCTGTGAAACTAAAAGTAAAATACATTAATTGGCATACTTATGAATTATGAATCAATCAATAATTAATTGTTAATACATTTCAGAGTAAATTGTAAGCTAGCTGTACAAATATTAACCAACTTTTCCTTCCATTTTTGTTTTTATTTCCTCATACCATTAATTCCAGAAACCCCTTTGGAGTCTTTAAACCAGAGGCTTGGATTCATTTTCAGTAAACATGAGAACTCACCAGAGTAAAATATGAGCACAGCAAGTCTGAAAACATTTCAAGACAAAAGTTGAGTCACATCTCTCAAAAACCTGTGCCAAAAATTCTAAAATGTTTATATAGATTCAAGAGAATATTGAAAGAGAGAAGTGTGGTCTACGACCTTTACCAAAAAGTAATCAAGTGTTAGTGTAGGATTCTCATCTGGTTTGCACACTTCACCGCTTCAACGTTTTTTCCTCTTTTCCTTAGTGGTGCAATCATTTTTCCCACTAGACTCACTGCGGACATTGGAAGTGCTTCCCACTATAGTCATATACGAGCACTGCTCCCACTGCCACCTCTTGGGTACTTAGGGGCCACCTCTCACTACCATCTGGGTTCCAAGTTGGGTTCATTTTCACCAAGTTTAATGAACATCAGTCAATACTATTTTGTGTTTGAAACTCTTATAAGAGTTTTGCAAGTGCAGAAATAGCACATGACCACACTCGGCTCACTTCAAAAAGGAATACTATGGTGAAAGAAACCAAAAAATTTGCAGCGCCCAAATACACTTCTTTGGTGTATTTTGAGAGGGCTATTCAGAAACCATGCGAACACAAGAACAGCTCTGGAAAACTGTCTTTTGTAGGCAAGTTTGTATCTGTAGAGAAAATTTACAGAGAAATAATAACCAGGCTTTCCCTTTCCTTATCAGGATCTAGGAAAGATGAACTCTCAAGAAAAAGAAACTAAAAATCCAACGCTTTAGAAGGTCTGATAGAGAATGGTTACCATGGGCTCCCATCTATTCTTTCTGAGAGCTGCTCCCTGATTTCATCTGCATAACGAGACAACCTTTGCTCATCATACTTTCCTCCCCTCATTCTCCCATAATCCGTGTCTCCACCTCTCCCAAGAAACCCCAAATCCCTCTGCTTTCAGGTCTCAGAATTGTTCAAAAGTTTCATCATCTGGCCCCTTCTTTGAGTCTCATACTTGGTATATAACTCCCTTGTTGACACTTTTTTTTTTGAACCGGAGTCTTACGCTGTCGCCCAGACTGGAGTGCAGTGGCACATTCATGGCCACCGCAGCCTCCACCTGCTGGGCTCCGGCAATCCTTCCACCTCAGCTTTCCAAGTAGCTGGAACCCCAGGCACGTACCACCATGCCCAGCTAATGTTTGGATTTATTGTAGAGATGAGGTCTCGCCATGTGGCCCAGGCTGGAACACATGTTAATAAATGTGTATGCAGGCCGGGCTCAGTGGCTCAGCCTGTAATTCCAGCACTTTGGTAGGCCGAGGCGAGTGAATTGCCTGAGCCTGCGGGTTCAAGGCCCGCCCAGGCAACTTGGTAAGACCTCGTCTCTACAATAAATCACAAACTAGCCTGGCGTGGTAGCGCATGCCTGTAGTTCCAGCTACCTGGAAGGCTGAGGCGGAAGGATCGCCGGAGCCCAGCAGATCGAGGCTGCGATGGCTGGGAGCAGTCTGGGCGACTGAGTGAGACTCCAACTCAAAAAAAAAAAAAAAATGTGTATGCCTTTTTCCCTTATTAATTTGTCTGTCTGTTTTATAGACCGTAGTCATCACAAATTCAGAGGGGAGAGAAATTCTCTGTCTCTTCAATTGCTGTAGTTAGATAATGTCTTTGATCTCTCACTGAACTTTCTGCCCAATTTCAAAACAGCAAATGCTAATTACCAAAAATAAGGAGGAGAGTGTTTTAAAACAAAACAAAACTTTGAACAGGGGAAAACTATGCTATATAGATTCTTGGTAATTTGCTTTTAAACACTTAAAATTGCCAAAGAAGACTGGCTTTCCTTGTCTTCAGAACTCCCAGTAAGGCCTCACACAGGTGGCCCCTCTTAACTTGTCCTTTCTTCCTGGTTTCCCCTCTCTCTGTCATCAGGCAAATGTTCTCAATGCATCCGCTAAGGATGCAAAGAAAAGACCTCTTTGTGACACCTTCCCAGATCTTCTTGGCAGAGCAGGTGGCCTTCCTCTGTGTTCTCACAGCATAGTCTTCATACTCCTTTTGTATGCTTTTCACATTGACTTGTAAACCTTTGCCTTAATAGTTTTTCATCTCACTCCAAGTATAAGCCAAAGCTTGGACTCTCTAACCCTCATTAATAATAGCTGGGATTCTCTTTAACGGTTTCCCCTCTCTCCCAGAATAGAACTCTAAGCCCACAGCTCCCCAATTCCAGATACCCCTGGGTTGGGCCAGCTCCCTCACTTCACTTGTGTTTATTCCAACATCACTGGCGTTATCTGCTTTTGGCTTTGTCTCCCCACAGCGTTGACTGCTGTCTCTCATACTGCATTTATTTACTGATTTATCTTGTTTATTGTCTGTTCCCCCACAAGAATGAAAACTCCTTGGAGGCAAGAGTTTGTCTGTTTGGTTCACAGGAGTGTGTCCGCCGTACCTAGAACAGGGTCTAGGGGCAGTGACTACTCAATACTTTCTTTAATGAAAAAAAATAAAAGCAATCCTCTGAGCTCCTTAAAGGTAAAGAGTTGGCTTTATTTGTCTTAAGTCCAGCATTTACCTGCAGCATAATATACATTTAATAAGAATCAGTTTCATGGATTCCCTTTTGGGAGACAAGTCAATTCTAGTATAGTTTCAATGGGCAGAAACCGAGAAAAAGCCAATTTATTAATAATAATAAATGACGGTTTCCACGTCATTTCCCTGCTTCATCTTCTTCCTCAGGATCCCACAGACCCGATCCTATAAGGACGATGGACTCCATTTAGTGGCTATGCATGCTTAAAGCTTAATAGTGATGCAATGTAACAGGGTAAGATGTTAAAATATCTGGAGGGCACCTCCTAGTTACTTATTTGTGTATGTCACTAACAGAGGCAGGTGCCAAAAGCTGAGGAGAGAGGAAGAAAGGTGGAGAAGTAGTGAGTCTATACAATGGCATTGAGGAAAGTGTGTTTTACAAACCGTTGTTTGACATGCAGTTCGAGGTGGGTGTCATCCTGGAGTTTTATGGAAGGAGGAGTCAGCCACAGGTCCCTTCAATGATTGTTCTAAGGCTCCTTTCAGATCCAAGATTGGAAGGAAGGAAGGAAGAGAATGAGGGAGGAAGAAAAAAAAAAGTATCCAGCAGATTTAAGAAAAAAGATGTTCCGGCCGGGCGCGGAGGCTCATGCCTGTAATCCCAGCACTTTGAAGGGGGCAGCGGCAAGAGGATTGCCTGAGCCCGCAGATTCGAGACCAGCCTGGGCAACTTGGCAAGCCCTCTTCTCTACAATAAACCAAAAAATGAGCTGGGCATGGTGGCGCACGCCTGTAGTTCCAGCCACTTGGAAGACTGAGGCAGAAGGATCATCTGAACCCAGAAGGTCGCGGCTGTGATGGCCGGGAGCGTGCCACCGCACTCCAGTCTGGGCGACAGCGTGAGACTCT